TATATACTCACGTACATGGAGGAATATATGATTTTCCTTGCATGGAAAGTTTTCAACTTGCAGTTTTGAAATCCGGAGCACAAGTACAACAGCAGATCGAGCCTGAACTTCTTCGAGAACAAAAAAAAACGTTTTAAAACCGTAACTTACCCCTTCCCGAGCACGGAATTTGAAGAAGTAAATTTCTACCGAATGAATACAATAAAGAATATTTTTGTGCGTGTATTCTGTAAAATATATCTTAATTTGTGAGGGCATCGAAAAGCAATGGATAAAATCACGCTAGTTAAGTAGCAGACGACCGAAAGAAGCGTATTCCAAAGGTCAGCATCCTGGCGTAAGTACACTATCTAAGAATTATTTTGCGCGGTCGCTTATATCACAGCCTCTCTTCATCTTTTCTAGTCGGTTAACAGTTCGTAAGAGTGCCCACGGATAGAATTTACTGCGTAACGCTATCGAGCTTTCTTTTCGGGTTAGGTGCAGTACCTCTTTCCAAATTGACAGGTGGTATGTCGTTCGAAACATTATCCTTCCAAAAAAACCATGCTGCTATACGATGTCGGATCCTGCACTTCACTGTTTCGTTCCTTTCACTTCAATACGCCCCTTTTAACGCAGGCTTTTTTTGTTAAAATGCTACCCCAATCAATCGGGCCATGTCTCCTTGTGTGCCCACAAACATCGTGCGCTGGCTCCTTCACGGTTTACGGCTGTTTCCCAGTTAATACTTTTTGCCTTTTCGTTTTTTTTCAGCGGGCACATCGCACAGCTGAGAACCCACTGCAGAGCATTTTCAGTTCGCACTTCGCATTCTCATCGCCCACCTCGCTGAGGTGTCGAATGTCAGATGTTGTCGAGAGCCCTCAGTCAGACCTGAACGAGACCGACGTGGCGGACGATAGGTGCGTGCGCCCGCGCGCTTATTTTCTCTTTTCATGCACGGCGGCGTTTTCTAGTCTCAGTTAAATGTCCATATTTACAGTAGATGTGCTAACTCGCGAAAAGTTAATCAGAATTCGGAAACGCGTTTTCGACCCGAAAAGGTTATTCAAGTAGGGTATCAGTGTTAGTTACCGTGCAGCGTAATCCCATGATATTTAAGTTACTTTGGGATGCCGGCCTTTTAACTAACTTCTTTCCTGCCGCCTGGACAAACTACACTGTAAAAAAATGACTTCTTAGGTAGTATGACTTCGCATTGATTTTCGATGCCCTTTTGTATTCAAATATGTTTCATAGAAAACATTTAGCGGGAAGTTACGTCTTCTTCAAATTTTATGCTTGAAGAAATGGTATAATTATGTTTTAAAACTTCCAATTTCCGAATAATTTTAACTCGACCGGCCCGTTCACCCACATTCAGAGTTTCAAAACTACAAGCTGTTTATTTCCCGTGTGCGAAAAGTCAGACATTTCTATACTTTTTTTAACCGGAAACCATATGGGGTTCGTAAAAATTATCATTGGATTTGTGCTATAATATAGACTTTACAAGACATTCTAGTAAATGCGGAGGTACAGTGTTTTGTAAACTGGAATGTTACGGTCTCAGAAAATCTGACAATTAGAAACTTAAAACTAAATTATACCTTTTCTTCAAGTATACAATTTAAAGAGTACGTGATTTTCTACCAAATGAGTTAAAAATGAATATTCCCGGGCATGTTTTCTATGAAAATATATTCGACTGCATAAGGGCATCGAAAATCGATGGAAAAAATCGTACTACATGCGTATTTGTTTTTTACAGAGTGTAATTTTTGTTGGTGGCTGGAAAGTAGTTCGTTTAAAAGCCGGCATTCCAAAGTAACTGAAATATCATGGGATTCTGCTGCACGGCAATCATGATTACTACGTTACTTAAGTAATATTTTCGAGTTGAAAACAAATTTCAGAATTTCGATTATATTTAATGGGTTAGCGCATCTACTGTAGGCAGAAGGAAATTATCGACAGAGACAAGGAAGGTTGAAATAGCCACTTCAGGTCTAGTGGCCCTTGTCAGCTGGCCCTACGCAACTTCAGATTATGCAGCATCTGAGCCTCGATCCCGGCTCTTCGGTCATCGAGCGTTATTGGTTCCAACATTCCTTCAGTTTAACCACAGACCCGTCGTCCTTTTGGTTGCTATCGGGAATATTAACTACTTTGGGAGTGCGTTCAGAGATTGGGTTACGAGTCGAACATGTTACGCAGGAATATACTTTTTAGCTTTGTGTGCAATGTCTTCATGGGTAGCGTCTTTCGGCGTGCAAAAACTGCTTTCGATCTACTGAATTCAACAAACAGCAGCACTGTCTTCTCGTAATTTAGTTTATTAGGTATGGAACATGCGCAAAATCAAACTACTAAGCAATTAGGCACAGTTTCTGTCCATATATATCCCTCTACCATGAACCTGATTCTAGGCATATCATATTTACCCGTCTTAGCGCTGAGTGCTAGCAATTTGTCAGGGTCACTTATTCTGGAATTTTCTTCTCATGATCGGCCTCCCATGTGAATTTTTTCCTTTACCATACTTTCCTGTGCATATAACTAATTTTCGCCGTCATTGACCAAAGGCATAATGCAGTCATTTAACTGTTAAACCTGTCATATTCCTCAAGATCCGTATGTACCTTTAATGTTTTCCACTATTCCCACCAGCAGAATAATAGTACTTAAAAAAAAAACAAATGCACCTATCGGGCCTTCTATCTAAAATAAGTGCTATACTCAGAAACCTTCGTCTGGACCGTTTTGCTTTTCAAATTTACAGCACTTCCAATGTGCATGAGGAAAGCGGAGTTTCAAACGTGGCCTCATGTTCCGCATCTGGTGAAGGAAGTCAGAATCCCCTCAGTTCAAATGATTTAGACTCCGACGAACCGGAAAAGCCCAATTCATCTGAGTTTATGGTTGGAGAGGTCGCGTTCCAAAAAGCAGACTATACAGAACAGTCTGACGAACTTGCCTCAGTCGCTTCCAAAGATTCTGATGATGAGCCTGAACTTTTTACGCCCCGGAGATCTCGACGTCATGCCAAACGCCCAGATCGCTATCAGGCTGCCTAAAACATGCCAACTTGTTCATCGATTTTTAGAACACTGTTTTGCAACTTTATTTTGCCTTCCTTCCTCGGAATTACACTTGTTAATATATTTTCCCTGAAAGTTGTTTGCCTATATTTTTCTTAAACAAAGTACGTATTCCATTAAGCGGGTTATGCTCGCGCCCGGTATAGGCCTCTGAGCCGTGTTTACGTTTCTTTTGAACACCGCCAACGGTTGATCTCTGCGCATTATTCACTCCTGTTCTTCACTACAGCTTCCTACTTATCTCCGTCTGTGACTGACCATTTGCCACGGTTATTTTGCATGTCAAGTTGGAGTCACTTAATGAGCCGTAGGCTGAATCGAGTGACATATTATGAGTGAATCCGCAACGCACAGAGTTCCCTGAGAGTTCGCGAGCAATTTTCTCAAATTTCTAAATTGATTTTGTTCATTTTCTTGCAGCACCTAGCATGATAAGGTCATATGTATACGTCTCATGGTTGACATCGTTGCTGTCTTAAGTGAAACTCCCCTAGGACTTCTGTTTCGTTGGCGCTCAACGTACGTGAATAGCACCATTGATTTCTATTTTAAATTTGTGGAAGCGGGAATATGATATTAAGCAAGTGCAACATAATTTAGTGGGTGCTGCGAATTTTTCGTTTGCTTCCAGGTTACTACATGGTAAATGGTCGGCGTTTGGGAAGCCAACCTTCGCTGCCGGACAACCACAAACTTACTGATCTTGTGATCATAGCGACGGCTTGGCGAGAAAGTGTTACTAAAAGTGTCTGCGCCATGTCTAGGACCGACTCGCTAATATCCAAATGTGTCGCATTTTTACTCAATCAAGACGCGAATTTCGTAAAAAGCTCGGATGACGTCTATCAAGTCGATTGTAGAATGCTCTGTCTGCAGCTTCATGCATGTCCACCTTGTACACATGCCTACTTGACCTTCCGCATGATGTATCCACTTAGTAAACAAATTAAAATGCTATCGTATACGACTGTAAATGGCTTCGTAGGGCAAACAGGCCACTTTGTCCCGGTGGCGTGAAGGTTGATCTAGCAGGTCGCAAGGGGACGATATCTGATAATACTGATCGAGGACGACGTTAAACAAAGCCGAGGAATCCAGTACTTGTTGATGCTTTACGGTTCTCCAACCCCGAAAATTTTCTGCCATTTCAAGAAATCGAAACATCTTGAGAATATACCAGAGTCACTCCCATAGCATTACATAGACCCGACGGAGTTACGGCGTGAGTCCATGAGACAGTGGTGGAGTGTGCGCTCAATTTGCACTACGCGTAGGGACGATGACGGCCAAATCAAAACCAGTTCTTCACTACAAGGATCCCCGACATGCACGCTATCGCCTCACACGTTAATTTGAAATTCGTTCCAACGTTTTCTCCAGACACGGCACACAGTTCCAACTTGTCGTTGATGATCTCTAGTGTTCATAAGTATTCTGTTTGATTTGACTTTGTTCGCAAATAGCATATTCTGTTTTTGTAAAGCATTTCACATAACCAGCCGCTACTATCTAATTTATTAAGTGTGTAGACTATCCTGAAAGGCAAGGGCTGGACACAGTCTGTATAGTCGATTGCATAACTTTAGCATACAATGAGTGAGGATCCGCAAGTATCCAAATTTGTCTAGATTAGCGTTTATATTTTTGGATATTCCGATGACGCATGAGGCCGTTTATTGTTAATGTAGTCAAAGCTTTTATTTGTGATTTTAACAGAAACCCCATGTTCGCTTAATTGAGCTTTCATGAAATACCTAAAATAAGTGTGATTTAGCTCTTAATTAAATGAGAATCGGGTAGTATTGGCTTTGAGCGTTTTAATTTATTTTTGAAGTAAATTCGAACTTCGAAAATAAAAAATATTGCAGATTGTCACCAAAATAAGATAATGTGAGATCGTCTGACCAGAATTCTAAATTATTGCTGCGGATGAGTCTTGTCATAGGTGCCTTGTCCCTTGTAACCACCGACATACCCCGCAGCAGCTTTTGCATCAACTACATCTTCGCGACCAGCAATCCCTTTGCCCTTCCCAGTTTCCATATCAAACCTCTCTTTGTGGGAACCCGTGTAATTTTTCACGTCAGTAAGTCGGTTGGTGGCGTCATCCTTGCTTGTTGCCGTTACGCCATGCCCGGCAGGGCTGCCAGCCGCTATTTTGTCTTTCAACTGCTTCACAGCATCTTCTTTGCTAATGCTTTTTGCTTCCATGTACGCGTCGGACAAAGCGCCATCAATAAACTGAACGAAACTGCCAAAATCAACGTCCTTTTTGGCGTTTCCCAGATGTTTCCGGAACTGGATATCAACACGGTTTGCGTCCATTCCTTTGCAGTATATTTTGCAGTCGGTGCATATCTTTTTAATAGTTTTGTCAGTTGCGGTGGTTGAACCCTTTTTAACACTGTCACAGAAAGCGAGGAAGACGGCCTTGAGATCACCCATGCTGGATTGCTTTGAAAGCTTACGCCAACCACTCGGTCACCCCTTGGAGTATCTATGTGTTATCGCTTATTTCAAACACCCACCAAGTTACCGGTAGCCATGGGATGATTTCAAACAACGATGCACGCGCAAAATTGCTGATGCTATTCTGGGGTCAGAAAATCATATATATCTCCTTGCCTTCGGTTGTACTCTCCACATCTTGGAAAAAAATTTGTTTTCAGATTAATCTGAGCCCTGGTTCGCTCGTTAAAATTCAGAAAGTAATTGACTGAACAGAACACCTAGCTGACAGGTAATCCGCTGCTATTAAAAAAGGTTTGTAGTGCAAAATCATTAAGCGGACATTCTATACGTCCTAAAACTGGCAAACGTAATAGAAGAGTCAGAAACTAGGTTAATAAATATATGGCAAGACCGGCAAAATAGTGATGTAAAAGTTACAACGACCATGTGTATCTTAATGCGCGATTTGAGTAATAATCATAATAATAGGATTAATAATTGTATTTGATGCCAATTTACAGGCATAGTCAGGGTAGGGTCAAACACAAATCCGGCTAGCAGTATAACTAAGGTCGCAGATATTTGGGGAGCCTTTCTTGAATCGGTGTTTGCATATACGTTACTGAGCCGCATTTACTCGCATTTGGAGCCTACGCACGGCCTTTCGACGGAACATCGAATTGAAGATGTGCAAGGTCACCGTCTTGGTGATTGTCCTTTGCGGAGCGGAGACCTGGACCATCTACTAAACCCATGCTAGTAAGCTTAACCACTTCCATCTCAACTTCCTTCGCGAAATACTGAAGCTGAGGTGGCATGACAGGATCCCGAACTCGAAAATCTTGGAAATGGGCGGAATTTTCAGTATTTACTCCGTGATGAGGTAACCGGAACTGCAGTGGGCCGGCAATCTGGTCATAATGAACGACGCTCGCTTACCAAAAACTCCAATACGTTTATTTCGTACAGCAAAACTTTATTAGTTGATTCGGATTCCGAAATTTAACCTCTTTAAGCGCTAGAATTTCCCTCCCCACATCTTCTCTGAAATCAATGGTTTCCAATACTGCGGTGTTCGTTCCACAAGGCAATCCAGTCTTCCCAAGGTCCGTCTCATCAATGAAAACGTGTGCTAAAAAACGTGTCAGGTGTTCTGCCTTATCGTCATTTTCGGTACTATCCTCATTGTTTTCTGCCTTCAACAATGTGACCGCCTCTATGTTCTTTAACTTCCTATTGATATAGTGCAGGAGTAATTCTGGCTATTAAACGGTCATTTCCATTACTCACGTTTAATATTCATGCCCCTGTTACGCACTAATGTCAACGAGCACAACACGATTTTCAAAAATCAGGGAAATTTATTTCATTAATTTGATTTCTCTATTTATTGCGTATTTTCCAGGTAAAGTCAGTCAGAAATTTGAGCGTTTGTCCATGAAACATCTGCGCTTACCGTCGTGTTTTGCCGATCTATCATAAGTCGCAAATGTACTGCCAAAATATTCCACCCTACATAGTCTCACTTCTTCTATGTTTTATAGCATATTGAACTCGGTCCGGTTGCAGTTTATTAATTTGAATGTAGACACGTTCTTTAGGAAAAATAGAGAACTTCATTAAGTAAGTTTTCAACGTTGGTTGCCTAGGTCGTCGTCGGACTTGAGCAGATGTGCGAAAAACAATTAACATTTCAAAGGGACTGAGAAATTAATTCTTATTTGGTGTTTGCGCTAGTACGCGGCCGCCGCATGCGTCATTCCGCATTGACTGGCTCTCGTCTCTTCCAATTTTTACTGAGATTTCTGTATATAGCATCTAACACAATGTGCTGATTGATGTATGATTCATCGAAGTGCATGGCTTCAAGAGACTCTCGGCCTTTCAAAAGGTGCAAACTCCGACGGTCAGAATTTTATCCCATGCGAAAGTGTGCTCAGATTCAAGTGTGTGCATAACCATTTGAGACAGGGGGTCTGGCCTCTTACCTCCTAGTTTGTGCTCGTAAATTCGTTTAGCGGCAGATTTTCCCGTCTGACCACAATACAGGGTATCACGTGCGTCGTATGGAACATTATAGACGACTTTCTTCTTATCAAGATAGCTAACTCTATCTTGAGGGCGTACAATCTAAGTGCGTAAGGTAGTCATCGGCTTTTGTGTCACTTTTATTTGGTGTTTCCTCAAGTATCTTTCAAGGCGTTTAGATACAATCCTGATAGAGGGTTAGATTCGCCAAATGTTAACTTTGTGCGCTTGATTGGAACTATCTAGCCCCTTTGCTGTTAACTCTGGTTGTCTCATCCACCGACGTACGAAATCTCTATTGTGACCGTCCTGGGAAAATAATTTAAACGGGTAATTTGCTCACATTAGTGGCTTTTGAAAGCAGGCAATATACCGCAAGATTTATTCGATCCAAAAAATTTAGCGACGTCTTTCCAACTGCGGCCCGTCTCTGCGTAACATAGATAACGAATGGAAGCCAACAGTAGTATGAGTTTGTACAGAATGTCAGTGCATAAGAGCAAGGTCACGGTTCAATGCAATGAACAATCAGATGAAGGGCGTTTCCATAAATATCACATAGGAAATAGACGGACGGAATATTAGTGTAAATCAGTCACGATTACAGTTCAGTTCAGTTCAGTTCAGTTTATTGAGGAAAATTGGCGTAAGCCTCTGAGTACCCTATTTGCAACGCAACAAATGTGTGGTATACAGATAAATGTTCTGGGCTGAAACAGTTCAAACAAGCCCATAGTGATAGGACATAATGAGAACGAGTTACAGGGGGTGAGCTCGACTTCTCATCGCTCTTGGTCATTTTGGAACACAAATATGTCCAAATTCTTTTTAAAACTTTCTCTAGATGGTGACATCACAACATCTGCGGGAAGGGCATTCCATGGTTTGACCACTCGAACAGAGAAGTAGAACTTCCGCACATCCAGCCTTGTCTGCTGTGTGCGCAGTTTGAACGGGTGACCTCGTAGGTTGGTAGTGGTAGCAAATTCAAAAAAAGTCCTCAAAGGCCACACTGCAATCCAACCCCTTTATAATTCGGAAGGCTTGCAAGGGATCTTCGCGATGTTGCTTGTAACTCAAAGGAAAGAGGTTTAGATTTACTAGGCGGGTTGCATAAGGAAAGGAGCTTTGACCTCTAACCATCTTCGTGGCTCTCCTCTGGACTCTTTCGAGGCAGTTTTGGTCCCTAACAGCCCACGGTCTCCAATCTTGTATGCCGTACTCTAAATGCGGCCGAACGAATGTTCCGAATGTCTTTGAGAAAGCATCTTCGTCAAAGTTCATAAACTCACGCTTGATGGCGTACAATACAGACATTGCGTTTTTTTGCGACCCTCGAACAATGGGCGGATGGCTTTAAGGAACTTGTCGTCAGCACAACGAGGTGCTTTTGGGCTTCCACCTCTTGTTGGGCTGCACCGCCCAGAAAGTAGTTTCTTGTGCTGGCTGATCTGGCTGTGTTACCTAGGCGAAGTATGCTACATTTGGCAACGTTGAACCGCAGGAGCCAACGGTTTGACCACTCCTCCAACCGATTCAGGTTCATCTGTAGTCTGTCTTTGTCGGCAGGACCCCGAATTACACTCCATATCTTCATTTCATCGGCAAACATTGGTACTTCGCAGTCTAAAGCTTTTGCGGCATCGTCCACGTATAGAAGGAACAAAATGGGTCCCAGCACTGAACCCTGGGGGACATCACTATCGACCATAGCCGGATCTGATTTTCACCGACCGATGCACACAACCTGGTGTCGACCCACAAGGAAGTTTTCGATCCATTTAAGGAAGTTGCCACCGATCCCTATTTTGTTAAGTTTATGTAAGAGCGTCTGGTGTGGCACAGTGTCGAACGCCTTCTGGAAGTCGATGAAGGCTATGTGGAGCGCGTGCCTGTCGTCGAGAGCTCGGGTCCAGCTCTGGAGAGATGGCAGCAGGTTTGTCGTGCAGGACCTTCCTTTCCGGAACCCATGTTGGCATTTCGATAGCAGGCCGTGAACTTCCAGGAATTGCATCAGTTCACCCTTTATGATCCTTTCCATAACTTTGCAGAGAATGCATGTCAAGCTTATGGGCCTGTAATTTGTCATCTCTGCCCTGTTACCTCCTTTGTGTAGCGGACTAATATGCGCCAGCTTCCAATCGATAGGGAGTGTTCCAGTGTCAAATGACATTTGAAAGAGCATCGACAAAGGCACAGAAAGCTCACTGGCTAGTTCCTTGAGAGGCTTGGGTGGAATCTCGTCTGGTCCTGGCGACTTCGATTCGTTCAATGCCTCTAATTCTCTCCAGACAATGCCCTCTGAGAAGAGCATTTCACTGACGCTTGCAGTCGGCAGTTCTTCTGTGGAGGGAGGAAGGAACCTTGCCTCATTGGTGTAGACTGATTGGAAAAACTGTGAAAGTTACCAGGGTAATTGCGGATTGATCACGTGTTCCAACTACTTACGTAAGTCTGGGATCTCCTGCCATACGTGATCAGTTTCCAGGTTCTAGTTGTATGCTCTCGGACAAGTACGCGAAAAGTTGTTTTAAGGTCGACAGCGTGACCGCTATCTTCTAGATGTTTCGTTATAGACGAACGAGGCGTTTTGTTCTCTGGTTTGAAAAGCCATCTAGGCAAGTGCTCGGCGGCCCTGGCTGTCAACTGCCTTTGCGTTCGCCCAATGTGCCTGTATCCGCAAGTGTATTTGAATTCACACACACAATTTGGGGTGGAGTGCGCCGGCAAAGCATCCTTTAACCGGTTAATTGTGAGGTTTCTGGTGGAACCGATAAATGCAAGTTGTATGTCCTTTCTATGAAGCAACGCAAGCGTCGCTTGACTGTGTAAGTGACGTTGTCACCCTTAACTATAGGAATATTATTACGGGCTTCTTTGGAACAAACTGTTCCGTCACTTTTTGCCGTAATGTGTTGCTGTTCTTGTGAATAAAGCACGCAGGATAACCGCGATTAAGTAAGGCT